GGTGAGAAGGAAAGGTGAAGGGTGTAGGGAGGTCACAAGGTTTTTACCGCTCTCTGTTTAAATGCTGGTTAACCTCTCATTTTCACATTTTTACAATAATTTTCCATCTATTTTGCAAGCTGCCATAGACCGCCACTCTGGACTTTGTAATATTTAATAATCAAAAGAATATAATAAATGGGAGTATCCCCAAACATATCTCCCAGTCTGGACATTAAACTAATTGGAGCGCGTCAAATGCCTGGATTCCCCCGCACCCAGAAGCGACTAAAAGGTTGGATTGGATAGTCGCTACACAAATGTTTTTCACTTTTTGTATTTGTAGAACCTTGATGTCAAAGACACTTTAATGCCAGACAGTGGGTAATGTAATACAAATAATCTAGGGATTTTTGGTTTCATTTTTTAAAATAAATGAGAGTAAAACCAAGACAAACGTGTTCGGTTTATATAAACACACACATACTGTCTGCTGTGATACTCTAGTTTGTCTTAATAGTACTCCACAAGTGCAGATCTCCTGTTTGTGTTTTCCTGTAATGATATTACCATTTATTTACAAATGCATACAAACACAATAAGCAGAGTGAAATTTCAATTTATGTCAGACAAAGCAAACTGGGTTAAAGCCACCTGGCTGGGGACTAACAGGATTTCCCAAATTACAAGGTAATTTTAGAACCAAACAATAAATTAAAAACATAATAAACAACAATGCAGCAACAGTTTTTAACACCTTGCCAGGAAAAGAAAAGGCAGTCTGTGAACCCAAGAGGCCAACAAAGAGAAGGTCAAAGTGGATCGGTCCCTATGGGATGCAGTTGCCCCCGGTTACCAGTCCTCAGCCTCGCCTTTAGAGGAAAATGGATGAGGTGGATCGGAGCTCATGCTGCACGGAGCCGGAGAAGGGAAGGAGGAGAGGGTGGAGTCACAGAGGTGCACACTGTGCAGCGAGCGGCATGTGGGGGAGAGGGGAGGAGGGAGGAGAAGCATGAGGGAGGGGAAGCAGGGGTTTTCGTCGTTACAGTGTATCGCAGGACTATTGTGCATCGCTTCCCGGTTCCAGGTAAGACCTGCAGTCAGCTGTTGATGTTTGTGACGATGACCAGAAGGGAACATTTAGAAAATGATTTGCATTAATGGTTAATGGGAGGYCTTTGATGAAAGGCTTTCACATGTTGCTGTGTTTCATCAGGTGAGCTGTGATGATCTGTGAGCTTTTTGTTATTACATGCATCTCTTATGAGAAAGCTTGACAGTTCGATGGACAATCAGGCTGTGGATGTGTGTGTATGCTCTTTAGTGTGTTTTGCAGGTGATGTTTGTGACAGGTTGTGCAGCTCTAACTAACCTGCTTAACTACTTGCAGGGAAACTTAATTATAGTGAAGGCGAACAAGGAAAAGGCAGCAGCTTCATGCCTGACACAACAGGGAGGGGATGTGGACTAAATGGCTGAAAGGMCATAGAGATGACAAATAAACGGTGAACACTACAAACTTTTTGAATGCGGATGTTAGAATACAGTACAAATAATAAGGCTCCAAACTGGAAATCTATTAGTGGATGTTGGTTTGAATGAGATTGTTACATTTTCTGTAACAGCCTTGTTTCGTCTTATCTTTTTATTACCACAGGTTTCTTTTTTAAGGAAAGGTTTTATTAATGAGGTTTGGAGGTTTTAGTACATCTTTATTTTAGATGTGTGCAACTAGGTTTAAACACAAATAACTAAAAATCAGAATTGTGGCTTTAAGCAAAAAACCAAACGTAAAAAAAMACTTCACAAACATTTCTCATCAAAATAACTTTTCACTGGATGCTTTGAACACTTGATCAAAAAACTAAGTTGCAACATTTAACTGAAGGAAAAATAAGAAAAACAAATGAAAGATGCAGGCTCTTGCTTTGCAGGGAGAAAAAAAACCCTGCTGGTTTATATTCTCAAGAGTTTCGAGTCTTGTTATGATTTTCTAACCAGAAATAGAATTACTGCACCCCCCAACCCCACCCCACCCCAAGCTCTAGATCAGACAGATCAAATAAAAAGACCTGATGGTGCTTCTCATGTTTCATGGTTGATGCAGATAAGCCACAAAAGAATCAATACAGATTTTAATGAACTATTCTAATATGCAGCACCTGCGTGAAGATCCCTTTAGTTTGTCTATTGATATAAATATGCTTAAAATGTTTCTCATTCTTCTTTATTTCAATAGTTTTTGATTATGAATGACATTGAGCTATTGAGTAATCAAATGTGGATAAAAAAGAATGGCATGCTTAGTTTGCAAAATCTATATTGGATTTCCAAGCAGGGAAAATAGACAATATCTATGATGGACTGTATGGCTTTATTTGCAGATGAAGAGAAATATAAATGTGCAAATTACATAGCATTGTTGCAGTTTTCAGCAACATTTAAAATACAGCCTTGTTAATTGAATTTTGCAGAATGTTGCTTTTGTCTCTATTCTTTTAAAACTGAATTACCAGCAGTATTTTTAGTGGCATTACTCTGAGGCTGTGCTCCTTTGTGTTTCTCTGTCTCACAGGGTGAAACCACTGACAATGCATGGCCTGTAAGCCACCAATCATGGCCCACAGGAAGCGGCCGGGGACCAGTGGGGGGATCGGTATGTCTGCTCCGGGCCCCGCCCCCTGCCCTGCCCCTCATCCCGCAGAGTCATGTGACCTGAAGGCCCTCCCCGCACGACAACGCCCACTCCGCTACCACAAAGAGCCACATGATCAGAAACCCCTCCCGCGCTCCTGCAAGGCACAGTATCCCTCCTCCAAGACTACAGACTCATGCCACAGCCACCCGGAAGAAGATGCTGCTGCAGCGGTGGAAGTGAAGCGGTACAGCAACCATGAAGCTGACCCGCAGCCAGAGAATCAGCGTCCAGCAACTCCGTCCACACCCGAGCACAATCATGTCCACGATGAACATCAGGCAGACTTTCATGGTGAAGCTGACAGTCTGGATGATGACTCCAGCTCTGACTACATCAACAACACCTCAGAGGATGAGGAAGATTATGATGATGGTGAGTGTGACATCAATTATCTTATTAGTTTAAGGACCACTGAGACCACTTCAGCTCCACACTGTTTGTTGTACCAGCCATAGGGATGGGCAATATGGACTACAAAAATTATCACGACCATTTCTAGGTTTTGTAACTATAAGTGACGATATCTGTCTGTCTGTCCTAATCTTTTATATCATAAATCTATCACTACATTCTCTCTTAATTACCATTCTCACCTAATTTCCCTCTGAGATCAATAAAGTATTTTTGAAATGAATTGAATTGAATTGAATTAACAGCCCTAAAACACTAGAAGCCACTAAACTACATTAATAATAATAATAATAATAATAATAATAATAATAATAATAATAATAATAATAATATGCATTTTATTTATAGGTGCCTTTCAAAACTCCCAAGATTACTTTACAAAAGTCAATAATAAAATCACAATAGAACAATAAAAGCGATAAAAACAATAAATCAATAAACAAAAGAAAACAGTGCAAGCTTAAATGATAAAAACAGTCTTAGTAAATACTGTAAAATTAATGGTAGTTATAAAAGTTCAAGTAGTGCACCTGTGTTGCAAACCTGACACCCATCAAACAAGACTGAAATATGAGAACAAAATTGACATTTACTGTATTTATTTATTGACAGCAAAAATTATCAATAATAATGGACTATTGGTTGATATGATAAATCTTCAAATCACATCCTCTTTACTAATCATCGTATTTGTAAAACCTCAGAAGAACTCCAACCCTTGTAAAATATCAGTAATATAATAAAAAAAACTATAGGAAAATACTTTTTACTAATCACTGAAAATAATGTTTTGCTGGTCTGGGAGGTAAAGCTATAATATTTGTTCCCTAAAGGGTTAATGTTCAGGGGAGGGAGGGGCTACAGTAGTTGTGTGAGTGAGCTGCGCAGACTGACAGGCACAGAGAAGAGACAGAGGAGCTGTGTTTTTTTTTTTTTTTTGTGGGTCCAGCAAGTTGAAGCTGCCCCACCCTGTTGTTTTTTCTAACATTGTTGAACTCTAAAGAGTTTTTAGTTGACTATGACTGCGTTTTTGTACGTTGAGKGAAATTACGATAGCTTTTTAGCTTTACTAATTTAGCACATGCTGTGTGCGTCCAGACCATTAAAACCAGTGTTGCTGTGTGTTTAATGAAAAAGACATGTCAGAATTCAGACCAAAGCATTGCAGTTCCAGTTTTTATAGACCAAAACTAAATGATATAAAAGTGAAAAGGGAGGATTTAAAGCACGATATGGCTCCTTTTTTAAAAAACGTGTCTGTTTCTGATTGTTCGCCTTGCCAGGACTAGCAGAGGAGGACGAGGGCGTCACCTACTACATCCGCTACTGCCCGGAGGATGACAGCTACCTGGAGGGTATGGACTGTAGCAGCCAGGGGGACGGCACGGGCACCAAGCAGCCGTGTGGGTCCCACGCCAGCGAATGCCAGGAGGCGGTGGAAGGGTGGGCCGAAGATGACGAGGGAGAAGTGAAAGAGGGGGAATGGGTGGAAAACGAGGAGGGCGAGGGGGCGATGAGGGAGGACTGGCAGGAAGAGGAGGAAGAGGTGGTGGAGGAGTGGAGGGAAGAAAGTGAGGGGGCGCAGGAGGAGTGGCGGGAAGAGGACCAGGGCAGGCAGGAGCAGTGGGCCGAACGGGAACGACACAGGGCGAAGGAGTGGGCCGAGGGGGCGGGAGAGGTCCGCTGTGAGGTGGTGGAGCAAGATCCCGACGAACAGATTTACAACGGAAGACCAGAGCCCATCCTGGACCATCACCGCCACCATCACAACCAACACCAGTCGGCCATGGAAGACACCCTGTACACCCAACGGGGCGACAGAGAAGAAGAGGAGGCAGAGAGTGAGGAGTGTTGCCCCAATGAGGAGGAAGATGAGGAATGTGATGAAAAGGATAGACATGGAAGGGCTTACCCTGGAGACTACTATGCTCCCGAAGATAACGGGAACTCTCTACGAGTCTCCCCTTACCGTAGCCGCAAAGTGCTGGTGGTCGAAGGGGAGACGGGGGAGGAGGCAGAGGAGGACATTGACCAAATTGTTGCTGAGATCAAGATGAGCATGAGCATGGGGAGTCTGAGCAGCGGCACCGACCAAAGTCCAGAGGAGCTGGCACAGGACCCTGCACCGAGTGACTACCCTCACTCTAAATCTGAGGCTGCCTCCTACCCACCAGCCCACCATCGCCACGACAGCAGGCCAAAGTCCCTGAACCTTCCCTCTGTGCACCACAACAACCCGGACCTTCAGAGGACCATCAAAGCACACCCACACTCCCCTGAGGACAGGCAGAGATGGGTGCATGAGCAGGTGAGCCGTTTCTGAAACGTCTCCGTTTTAGATGGTGCAAAACATGACATGAGAGTTCCCCTTAGGGGTGGAGCCAGAGAGGTGGCCAGGGTGGCAAGTTCCACCCCTGGCAACTGATTGTCCACCCCAGGTGCCACCCCCAAGTGATTGACAATAGGGCTGCACCGATTAGTTGAAATAATCGATGACGTCGATTATGTAAATTTGTCGACGCAGATTTTTTTATTATCGATTCGCTGTATTACATAACCACCACGTGAATGTTCATGCAATTCCATTTCGGTACCTAAATGCATCATTGCGACTGTATTGGCATAAGAGTGGTGAGTTTTCCATGCTTGTCCTGAATGCAGCATCGCGCAAGAGCGTAATGACGTCAGCAGCTTCAGTTCAGTCTAAGCTTGAAAACAAGCCTCGCAGCTCCTGGAGTAAAATTTACCGAACAGACCGCCTCTGAAT